AAGAGCGACGGCGGCACAGCTGCCTGTGGGGAATCGGTCAGAGAGAGTGAAACACGGTCAGTCCTGCGTTGAGCATTCCGGCAGAGTTGACACTGGAACCCGCCGCTCCCCTTCAGCTGCCACAGCCTCCCATGGGCAGGGCATCCTGCCCCCCCCCCCCCGGTGTCTCTCGCCTTCACTTCACTGGAGGACTGGAGGGGCCTTTGGCCTGATCCAGCATTGGCGTCTCTTATGTTCTTATGCTGTGAGCACAGGGAGGGGAGGGGAGGGGAGGGGTGTGCTCCCTGCAGACCATAGCCCTCCCCCAGCACAGCAGATGGTTTGGCGGAACCTTCGGTGGCCTTCCAGCCGGGCAAGGGCTGACCTGCCCTGCAGGTGATGACACACAGCGGCTGGCCTGACTCATCCCCCGCAAGCAGCTGCTTGTGAGCCACGGCAAACCTGCTCCATGGGGCTGGGCTGGCAGGATGCCAAAGCAGCATGCTGAGCTGGTGGCCGGCTGCCCTGGGCAGAAGAGGGCAGGCGTCAGGCAGTTTCCTGGAGGTCTGGGGAACTGGCGGTCTGGGCTGGGGTGCCGGCAGCTCTTCTCCTGGGAGGGGCCCCACGGAGGAGGAGGTGGCTGAGCAGGACCAAACCAGGTCACCACCATGGCCCCGGCTGACCACCACTGGAATGAAAGAGGCTTTTTCTTTGCCTCCTCCCAGTGGCCCAGATGCGCTTTGCTTGTGTGAAAAGTGTCACACCGAGGGGCAAGCCTCCCACAAGATCTCTAAGTCTCAAAATCTTGCTAACCACGGGTCCCTTCCTCCGAAGGCATGCCAACTGAAGCAGCCGCACTGGCACTGTGGTCTCCCATAACAGCTCCACCAGTTTGGGCTCCATCAAAGTTCACACTTCAAACCCTTGCTTGGCTTGGAAGGAGTCCCTCCTGGCTGGGATAAAGAGAAGCCTCAAAGGACCACAAGCTTCAGGGGAATGGCAGAGCGCCCGGGAGCAAAGGCAGAGCACCCTTTGGCTTGGCGCCTGACATCGCTGGCACAGGCAGCCTGACCTGTCAGGCCCGGGTCTGCTTTTGGAACCAACCAGCTGCCCGCTCTCGCTTTCCCTGGGGGTGCACATGACGGCCCGTCAAGATTGAATGCGTCCTTTCCTGAGAGATGGGAAGGAGAGGGACGGGCACTGAGAAAGATGTTTCTCGGGTGCACAGATTTACCTCCCCAATTTCTCCAACCACACTTCCTGCTAAACTGGCTGCAAAACCTCATGCCACAATAAATGTTGTGAGACACAAATCTCTGCTGTGTTGTTGGTTTTTATGCTATGATGAGGTTGGCTGGATGATTGGAACGTCTCACCTAGGCCTGCCCAATGGAACTCACTGCTACAGGGAACTGGGATGACTAATCACATGACTAATCACATGGTTCAAGGTTTTCTGTTCCTTGGCTTCCTCACCAACCCAAAGGGAGACTGCAACTTAGGAATCAGAAGGAGATGGAGACTGGGGAAGGCAGCCAGGAAGGAGGTGGAAAAGATTCTTAAGGGTAAAGATGTGTTGCTGGCAACCAAGAGCAAGATAATTTACGCCACGGTATCCCTTGTCAGTGTGTATGGGGGTGTGAAAGCTGGACAATGAAGATGGCGGACAGGAAGAAAGGGGATTCCTTTGAAATGTGCTGTTGGAGGGGAGTTTTACGGATACTGTGGACCGCCAAAAAGACAAACAAAGTGGTTTCTAGATCAAATGAAGCCGGAACTCTCCCTAGAAGCTAAAAGGACCAAACTGAGGCTATCATATTATGGTCTCACAATGAGAAGACAAGAGTCCCAGGAGGAGACAAGAACGCTGGGGAAAATTGGAGCCAGCAGGAAAGGAGGAGGACCCGACCATGAGACGGCTTGACCCCATCCAGGAAGCCACAAGGGCCTTCCGTTTGCAAGACCTGAGCCAGGCCCTTAACGACCAGATGAGAATGTTAATTCACTGGGCCGCCATGAATCAGAAGAAAACTGACAGCACTTGACACACACACACACACACACACAATCACCTTAACGTCTCTTTTGAAAAGCACAATAAATCTACAGAGGATCTACAGAGTGTGGGGTAAACAGAGATTTGTTACTCTCTGGTGTGAACTTCCATGAAGCTCTTGCTTGGCTGCTCTGGGCTGAGCCTGCAGGGTGTAAGTGGTGCCTTGCTGGACCAGACCAGGGAGCGTCCATCCAGGCCACACAGCGGCCAGCCAGGGACTCTAGAGGGCCGAATGGGCACCGAGGCTGAGGCCCTCCCCTGACGATGCCTCCTGGCACCAGGTTTCAGAGGCTGGCTGCAGCTGAATATGGAGGCTTCCTTCAGCCGCCATGGGCATGCACGTCTCCCACTCTCTGCTTGGCATGTATGCGTTCAGTGGGCAGTGCCAGGCCCTGGCACAGTCACAGAGTCTCCCCTTTTCCTACACTGTCCTGATTTCCTCTGGGCCCACTGCAGTGCCTTGACTCAGTCCACACTTGGCATTGCCTGTGGGGTGAGACGGTATGTAAGGGGCAGAGCAGCCAGCGGGTCCCATCTGCTGTGCTGGGGGAGGGCTATGGTCTGCAGGGAGCACACCCCTCCCCTCCCCTCCCCTCCCTGTGCTCACAGCATAAGAACATAAGAGACGCCAATGCTGGATCAGGCCAAAGGCCCCTCCAGTCCAACACTCTGTGTCACACAGTGGCCAAAAATACCAGGTGCCCTCAGGAGGTCCACCAGTGGGGCCAGGACACCGGAAGCCCTACCACTGTTGACCCCCCCCCCCAAGCACACACTCTGCTTCGGTGACTTGGTGCTGGGAGCAGACGGAGCTGGACACCCCCACCCCCTCCTCTGAACGGCCGCTCAACATGCCGGAAAGCACCAGAAGAGGCCGACGGGGCCCAGAGATGAAGCTCACCTGCGTCTCTCCTGCACACCTTGACCAGGACGCTGTTGTGGGACTGCACCAGTCGATGCACCTTCACGGATTGCTGCCGGGCACAAAGGGAAGACGGCACAGAGCCCAGTGAGGCCGGCAAGGACACTGCCACACACACACACACACACACACACAGAGCAGTCAAAGTCTCCCTCCCGCCCAGCAGCTCCCGGGGGTGCCAGGAAAGAGACTTCTGTTGTGTGTGATGACAACTGAAATCCCGGACGCAGTCTGTTGACGTGGCAAGGGCCTCTGGGGCTCAGACTTCCCCAGGGGGGAGGTGAGCCCCACACAGCTGCCCAGGATGGGCCCAGGGGAAAGGCTGCCTGGGGAAGCAGGAAGTGCTCCTGCAATGACACCCCCTCGGGTGCCTGCCAAGCAGAAGGGCTGTTGAGGAGAGACGCAGCAGAGCCGGTCTGGCAGAGAGGCTGAGGGACGGAGGAGGAGAGCCCCAGGGCAAAGGCAGCTCTCTCCAGCTATGGCCACTTCAGACTCTCCTCTGGCAGAATGGCCTGCCTTACAAGGCTGTTGTTAGGATTACCAAGAGATGGGCTTTTAATGCAGGGCATGTGCCACCAGGAGGGTCACCAGTCGCAGCCGCCAGGGCTCTTGTACACAGTGGCAGTGTTCCCACTAAGCTGAGTTAGCGTGAGCTGACAACTTTAATGCCAGTGGAAGCAATGCACAGTGGCCCCAAAGCTCCCTCTCAGCTGTGGAGTCTTGTGAGCAAAAATCCTACTCTGTGAGCTGCTGGCATTCAAGTTGGGAGCCAGCGATTTGGCTGCTGCATCAATGAGTTTGCTCTGGAGCCCTCCCTTCCTGAGCTCAGACAAAAATGCATGAGCCAGAGGCTAAAAAAGGCTCACACTAACTCAGCTTAGAGGGAGCACTGGACAGGGTGAGGCTCAGCCCCTCACCGATTTGCTGCCCAAAAGCGTTCTCTCAGCTGCAACGCGTCTTCCCCAAACTGCACAACGGGTGGCACGTGCCCACACCGGAGGTGGACCAGGCCCCTGAGGCTGCAGTGTCAACGAGCGAGTGCCGGCTCGGTCCGGGCGTCCTGCCCCAGGTGCCTTCCCCCCTCCCGCTCACCTTCCTGAGGTCGTAGACCGTCAGAGCGATAGAGAGGAGGGACATCAGGATGATGGCCACCGAGTACTCAATGTAATCTTCGGCCAGCCACAGGCAGACACTGAAGAGCTGGAAGACGTAGAACGGGTTGAGGACCTGTTTGGGCGCAGAGGGGGGGGGGAAGACAACCAGTGGCTTGCAAACCGCGCGTGGCTTCCTGTGGCCCATCCACGCGCCTGTCCTTGCTCCGGCCCGCCTAGCGTTGCCAGGTCCCTCCAATGGCCAGCAGCAGGGGATGGTAGGGTAGAGTCCACCCTCCAAAGCATCCGTTTTCTCCAGGGGAACTGTTCTCTGTAGTCGGGAGATGAGCTGTAATTTCGAGGGATCCCCAGGTCCCACCAGGAGGATGAGAAGAAGCAAACAATAGTGATGTACTATGCCAAAAAAGTCTCCAAGGACTAGAAATTTCTTTTTCAAATATTCACTTTACTGGAAGCAATTCAGACGCCATCAACACCAACGAACCATGCGTATTATATCTCATTTCATATAACATTATCAGAGTGGGTGGTGTTGAAATACCTATATAATATTAATCCATTTGGCAAACACTCTATTCACATCCCATGGTAACACTCATCACATCTATTTCTGGCATGATACATCATGGTTGTTTGCTTCTTCTCAACTTCCATCCTGTGATCTCTCTCTCTTTGGTTTGCACCCACCAGGAGGATGGGAAGAAGAAGAAAAGAAGAGATTGGATTCATACCCCATGGCCCTTCCCCCAAGGGAGTCTCAGAGCGGCTTACAGACTCCTTTCCCTTCCCCTCCCCACAACAGACACCCTGTGAGGTGGGTGGGGCTGAGAGAACTCTGACACAAACGGTTTGCATCCCCCAGGAGGATCGCATCCCTATGCCCACAGGGTGCCACACTGGAAAGAGGGTCGGGGCGGGGGGGGATGGCCGGGTGCAAAGGAAGGAGGTCGGGACAAACAAGCAGACTACAGAGCCAGGAGAGGGGACGCTCCCTGATGCTCCTGCAGAGTGCGGGGGGTTCACTTTGCGAACCTTAAAAGGCCCTATGAATTTCCACCCCAATTTCCTGCTGGGCCGCAACATTTTAATGTTCTTAGTGGAAATGTATACAAAGTCACCAGGCTGCAGAGCCCAACCCTCCACCCTTCTCCTGTCAGCCTGAGTCTTATATGCCTCTTTGGCAGCATCCAACGCCTTTTGCAATAGAGGCCATGACTCCTGCAAGTTCTTGCACCAAGAGCCCGCATCCCCTGAACCCACGTCTGTCGTCCCCTCCAAAAACAGCAAGGGTGGGCTGTCATAGCCATAAAGTGCTTTGAAAGGTGACAGCCCAGTGGACGTGTGGCAGGTGTTGTTGTAGCAATACTCGGCGAGGGGCAATAAGTCATGCCAGTCATCTTGCTGATAGTTTGTGAAACACCTGAGGTATTGTTCCAAAGTTTGATTAACTCTTTCAGTTTGTCCATCAGTCTCTGGGTGGTATGCACTACTCAAACCCCTCTCCACCCCCATGATCTTCATCAACTCCCCCAAAACCTGGAGACGAATTGGGAACCTCTGTCGGATATCACTTTGCTTGGCAGCATATGGAGCCTCACCACATGGAGCATAAAAGCCTTAGCCAGGGTTTTGGCTGTAGGCAACGACGGGAAGGGGATGAAGTGGGCTTGCTTAGAGAATAGGTTCACTAGATGCTTGCTTAGAGAATAGGACTAGATGACCTGCCAAGGTCCCTTCCAACTCTAACACTCTATGATTCGATGCCACCCAAGTGCTTAGCCCAGGGGAAACGGCTCCATCCAGGGGCTGCATCTCAGCATCCTCCTGCTTTTCCAATGGCTTCAGATGGGATGCCAGCTTTCCCCGTTCCCAGCACTTCTGACCTGGGAAGCAAGAAGAGCAGGTGACCAGCTCAAAACGCTCCAAAGTGGCTGGAGGTCTCAATGCAGGCGCCCCCCCCCCCCCCGCTGAGTCTGCTGTTCTTAAAGGACTCAGCCCTCAAGCTGCCGCGTAGTTCTTCAGAAGCCCTGTGGCCCTCTGAGCTGGGGTTGCATTTCAGCACCGCAGCCATCAACCAGGACTTGAAAAGTGCTGGAAGTTCCGGATGCGTGATGTCCCCTGCCTCAGACCTCCAAACCGAGTGGCAAGAGAGGCTGCATAGCTAGACAGGCACACGGACCTTTCTTCCTGTCTCTACTCTTCTGCCACTGTCCCCTTTGATATGTAGATTGTATTCTCAGGGACCAAGTCCCCTTTCCTGCTTCTCTCTCACTCTGGATGAAGGCTTGCTCTCTACCAGCACACACCCAGAGAGGGAGAGGTTGCCCTCTCATGGCACCATGAGACTGACGGGCCCATTTTTAGCTAGTAATTAGTAGTCTATCAATCTCTGCTCTTTCCTATCCAAAGTGTACTTCTCAAATAAAGAGAGAAGTATTTCTCTTCTAAACTTGCAATGTGGCTCTGTGGAGGAGGAGGAGGAGGAGGAGGAGGAGGAGTAGGTTGGATTTATACCCCGCCTTTCACCACCCAAAGGAGTCTCAGAGCGGCTTCCCTCCCCCTCCCCACCACAGACACCCTGTGAGGTAGGTGGGGCTGAGAGAGCTCTTGACAGAAACGGCTCTTTTTCAAGGACAGCTCTTTTCAGAACTACGGCTTGCCCAAGGTCATCAGCTGGCTGCATGTGGAGGAGGATTGGGGAATCAAACTCGGTTCTCCCAGATTAGAGTCTTAACCACGACACCAAACTGGTGTAACCTGGGGAAGCTGGGTAACCTGGTGAAGTGACGCACTTGCGTTTGTAGCTTTAGTTAAGCACTCTGCTAACTAGTGGTGACTGGAGTAACCCACACCCTTTAACCTCTATAAAAAGTCCATCTGACAGATATCACACCAAGTCAGCCTGGCCTCATTTGCCACCCCCGGTGGCCTCAAGCGCGGCAGGGCTTCCCGGCTGCTGCACGCAAGGTCAGTCGCACTGGAGGACCACGCCCACAAGGAGCCCCACCAGCTCCAGAGAATCCCGGGAGGCCTGCTGGGAAACCACAGCCTCACTTACTGTCCCGCCCCCCCTCCCCATTTTCATTTCCATAAATGTTCGAGGCAGTAGCACAGAGCCTACCCATCCCTGCAAAACTCCGCGGAAACATCACAGCATCACACCTCCAAAATCACAATGGACAGCACCTTGGCCCGTAGCTGACACGGGGCCCACGGGGCCTGGCCCCCTAGTGTTTCTTCTGGGTCCCCTCCCCCCTGGGCTGACCCCAAAGTGCTCCAACTTACCACCTGCACTGTACTTTCATTTAATTAGCTGGTGGCCCCCCCGAGGCCCCCTCCCAAGGAATTCCCTAGCTACAGAGCTGACAGGAGCCCTAACAAACGGTCCCAGGAGGGTTGCCAGGTCTGGGTTGGAAAATACCTGGAGACTTTGGGGGGTGGAGCTGGGAGAGGGCGGGCTTTGGGAAGGGGAGGGGCCTCAGCCGGGTGCAATGCCACAGAGCCCACCCTTCAAAGCAGCCCTTTTCTCCAGGGGAGCTGATCTCTGTCAGCTGGAGATCTGTTGTAAAAGCAGGGGATCCCCAGGCCCCACCTGGAGGCTGGCAACCCTAGGTCCAAGGTCCTGGTCAGTAAGACAGTTTTGCGGAACAAACAGTCCCAGCAGGGGGAGGATATTCGACAGATGGGGGACCACCATGGCAAAGGCCCTGTTCCAAATTGCAAGAGCAGCCGGGACTCCAGAACACTGCCGTAACCAAGAAATGGAGGAGGCCCGGGAGACTACTAGGCACCAAGGCTCCCTCTAAGCTGTGGAGTCTTGTGAGTAAAATTTTACTTTGTGAGCTGCTGGCATTAAAGTTGTGAGCAGGCGATTTAGCTACTGCATAAAACAGTTTGCTCTGGAGCCCCATCCTTCCTGAGCTGAGACAAAAATGTGTGAGCCGGAGGCTAAAAAGCTGTGAGCTGGCTCACACTGGCTCAGCTTAGAGGGAACGCTGCAGTAGGCACCCCTTTGAGTTGGGCCCTGCTGCCAGCAAAGAGGTTTCCATGCAGGACAACCGATCGACACAGGGCACAGCCCGAGGCAATCCACGAGCAGCCAAACTTAATTAGACGGCTCAACCTGCCAGCTCATTTTAAGCAGTTCAGGGGAAAAAAACTGTCATGAAATTCCAAGAGCAAAGGCGGCAGGACCGGCCCTTCAGGAGAGGACAGAATGTTCTGTTTGGACTCTGCCGGCTAAACCTCTGTGGATTAAACTGCTAATCGGCTTCTTGGGGCCGTTGCTTTTATGAGACATCGTACCTGGGCTTTTGGGAACAAAGCATCCCAAACAGTCACTAGGGAGCTGGCTGGCCCAGGACACAGCCTCCTCCTGGATTAGGCCGAAGGCTGCGAAGGCAGAGCTCAGGTGTGGAGGGAGGGAGCGGAAGGGGAAAAGCCGCCCAGTGACTGAACTCGGTGGACCTGTTCTGTCTCCACCATCTTCACTCAGAGTCTCAGAGCGGCTCTAATCTGGGAGGACCGGGCTTGATTCACCCACTCCTCCACTCGCAGCTGCTGGATGACCTTGGGCAAGCCGTAGTTCTCTCAGAGCTGTTCTCTCAAGGACAGTTCTCAAGAGAGCTCTCTCAGCCCCACCGACCTCACAGGCGCTGTTCCCTCTAAGCTGAGTTGGTGTGAGCTAGCTCACAGTTTTTAGCCTCCGGCTCACACATTCTTGTCTTAGCTCAGGAAGGATGGGGCTCCAGAGCAAACTAATTGATGCAGCCACCAAATCGCTCGCTCACAACTTTAATGCCAGGAGCTCACAAAGTAGAATTTTTGCTCACAAGACTCCACAGCTTAGAGGGAGCATTGCTCACAGGGTGTCTGTTGTGGGGAGGGGGAGGGAAAGGAGTTTGTAAGCTGCTCTGAGACTCCGAGTGAAGGGCGGGGTATAAATCCAATCTCCTCCTCCTCCTCTTCTTCTTCTTCTTCCTCCATTCTCCTTTCTCTTCCCCTCCCCACAACAGACACCCTGTGAGTAGGTGGGGCTGAGAGAGCTCTGAGAGAAACTGCTCTTGAGAGAACACCTCTGAGTGCACTTTGAGAATTACAGGTAGGAGAAACTGGAATGTCTTAATGGCCCTCTCTCTTTTGCGAGCGCTTGAAGGAGAAAAGGGAGGGGGGGGTCCCCTTTCGCCACACAGGCCTGCTTTCCACGGCAGTTTGTACTTGTGGCCTAAAAGTCAACATGCCAGTCTTTATTTACCAATGCCATCTTGCACCTGCCTTAACCAATGAAACAGATGACCTTGGAAAGATCTAAGACAATAAAATGGCCAGAGAACACTGGACCAACAAAATGTCAAGGCAAAGGTTTTCAATGCACCGATAATGCTTTCCTGGGTAACTGTGAGCAGGCAAACTCAGCCTGTGGCCGGCGAATGCTGGGCCGGGAAGCCACGGGGGCCCCCGGGGGCTCAGCCTCATGGACAACCCTCTGGCCCCAAAGGTTTCACCAGGCATTCCTCACACTTCACCTACTACCCCCTCTGCAGGTGGACTAGAACCCTACTTTAATCATTTGCAAAATCACCTGCACAACCAATGCTTCCACACCAGTCTGCAAAGCCTGGCAGCTTCAGGGAGGCACGTCACGTGGGACTCTGCACCAGTGTTCCCTCTAAGCTGAGTTAGTGTGAGCTAGCTCACAGTTTTTTAGTCTCCAGCTCACACATTTTTGTCTTAGCTCAGGAAAGATGGCTCCAGAGCAAACTAATATATGCAGTAGCCAAATCGCTTGCTCACAACTTCAATACCAGTAACTCACAAAGTAGAATTTTTGCTCACAAGACTCCACACCTTAGAGGGAACATTGCTCTACACGCGTCCCCTAGTTGCCCAAAGCTAGTTTTGAGGCAATACCTCTTTGACAAGCAGCTTCCAAATAGGCGTGATCTCCACATCGATGGTGTTGGGTCCACAGATCAGCTTCCTGTGTGGGAGCAAGAGAGAGAGGCCACGGTCAGTCTGACTAGCCGGGCCCTTTCCGGCTCCTGCTCAACTTTCCCCTCTGGATAAGAGGAGGAGGAGACCAAACATGCAAGGCAAGGCAAGATCAGGACAGGCGGCCCTGTCTGTCTGTCCGTAGCAGGAGCAAAGAGCCAGAGTCCAGGAGCACCTTTGAGACTAACAACAATTGGTAGCCGGTGGGAGCTCTTGTGAGTCACTGCTCACTTCTTCAGATAGAGCTGGAATGTGAGCAGTGACTCCCGAAAGCTCCTCCCTTGCCACCAATTTAGTTAGTATTCAAGGTGCGCCTGGGCCCTGGCTCTTTCCTGAGGCAGGAGAAGAAGAGGTGAAATCAAACAGAACGATGCAGAGTGCGGTCGGACTGGCTGGCAGGCAGGCAACAACAGAGAAGAAGAGATTGGATTTATACCCCGCCTTTCACTACCCAAAGGTGTCTCAGAGCAGCTTACAATCTCCTTTCCCTCCCCCTCCCCACAACAGACACCCTGTGAGGCGGGTGGGGCTGAGAGAGCTCTTGACAGAAACTGCTCGTGAGAGAACAGCTCTGAGAGAACTTGTGACTGGCCCAAGGTCACCCAGCAGCTGCATGTGGAGGAGGAGTGGGGAATCAAACCCGGTTTTTCCCCAGATTAGAGTACGCCGCTCTTAACCACTGCGCCAAACTAGAAGGAGGGCCCAGCTGTATTGGCCCAAGCAAAATCCAAACCAAAACCCCAAACTCACACAATACGTTTTTCTGAGGGCCAATCAAAAGGACCCTCAACACTGCACCAGCTTCCCCGCTCACCAGATCCCTTCAGCAGGCTGGACATTATGGGAAATTTCAAAAATTGAGGGGGGGGGAGAGGAGAATTTTCAGATCATGTTCTTAAGATCAAATAATGGCAGCATTTGGTGCCATCGTTGTGCCAGCGGGTCATTTCGAATGAAGACATGGATGCATGACACAGCCTTATATGGAATCAAACCCTGGGGCCACCAAAGTCAGTATATTGTCAACTCAGGCCGGCAGCTGCTCTCCAGGGTCTCAGGCAGAGAGAGTTCTTTCACTGCGCCAGTTTGGTGTAGGGGTTAGGAGCGCAGACTCTAATCTGGGAGAACCAGGTTTGATTCCCCACTCCTCCCCCACATGCAGCTGCTGGATGACAGAGTGAGCTCCCGTCTCTGGCTCCAGCTCCTGCCAACCTAGCAGTTTGAAAGCAAGAAATTGCGAGTAGATACACTGATACCACTTTGGTGGGAAGGGAACAGCGTTTCGTGCGCCTTGGCATTTCGTCATGCTGGCCACATGACCACGGGAACGTCTTCGGACAGCGCTGTCTCTTCGGCTTGGAAACGGAGATGAGCACTGCATCCCTAGAGTCGGATTCGACTGACTTTCGAGAAAGGGAAACCTTTACCTATTGTATTGTTTATCGGATATTCTGTGCTGTATGATTGAATTGTTTTCTATATTTTGTAACTGTTTTAGGGGAGACATATATTCCCGACAGCTAGACCTTATATAGACCGTTAACAGGGGAGAGACAGATTCCAATCAGCTAGACTTTTTAATTGGACGGCTGCATTCTGAACCAGCTGCAGTTTCAGGGCTGCAGTTAAGGGCCGCCCAATGTACCCTCTCCTCCTTTGTGATCATCCCTTCGTAGACAACCTTCACTTAAGAAGTTTACCCCAATTCCTTCTGCAGCATCACTTCTTGCCCTGAGTCTCTACAGAAAATTCAAAGTCATAATATTAAAAAGGCTTCTGTGTGAAATCAAGGAATGGAAATAATCCCAGAGTCCCTGTGTTCTTCACAAGACGAGAGGCATCACACCCAAAGGTTATCGGGCATCAGCCACATTCAGGAATTGCTCAGGAGGGCATTTTTATAAACAGAGCAGGGCTGCAGTAAAAATGGGATTTTTCAGAGGGATAATAAAGGGATAAGAGCTGAGGTTTACAGCACTGTTTACTCTGCGCGTTTCTTATTTTCACTCCATTGTTTCCTAATTTCTTTAACCTAGTTTGCATTTCTTGTATCATGTTTAATACCATTTCTATTGCATTGTCTTCTAACGTTGTAATTCAGATTTATTTCCTTGTTCACTGGATGCCTTATAATATCTCTGTTGAGTTCCTGAATTTTCTAATCCACCTTGAGTCTCAGGCAAGAAAGGAAGACTACAAAGAAAGTAAAGAGAATGAACAAGCCAGAACAGGCGGCCAGAAGCGGAACCTGCACATACTCATGTGACTCACACCACCAGAGTCAGTAACGCCCAACAGAATCTGTCAAACAAGGACTTCCCAATGTATTTAATATGTACACATGTCCTCTCAATATAGATTATCTTGGTCATGACTGATGCACTGAAGAATTTGGATAAGGAAACTTGCATTTACGTGTTTACTATCTGCATTCTGTGCCTTTCACTTGGTGTACTGGTTGGTATAGTTGGTGTAGTGGTTGGTGTAGAGGTTAAGTGCACGTAATGTCGGAGAACCAGGTTTGATTCCCCACTCCTCCACCTGCACCTGCTGGATGACCATAGTTCTGATAAGAGCTGTCCTTGAAAAAGAGCCGTTTCTGTCAGAGCTCTCTCAGCCCCACCCACCTCACAGGGTGTCTGTTGTGGGGAGGGGAAGGGAAAGGAGTTTATAAGTCACTCTGAGACTCCTCTGGGTAGTGAAGGGCAAGGGTATAAATCCAATCTCTTCTTCTCTTCTTCTCTATAGTTGATAATTCTGCGCATGTTTCTGTTTTTCATTCTTGAACATCTGACTCTTTCTAACAGTTTTTTAAAGCAGCTATTTTAAGCTCGAGGGAAGTGGGGAACATCAGACTTCCTCCGGCCACTTGGCCCTGGGACAGGCTGCCAAGAGGGAAGGCCTTGCAGTCTCCTTCCTGAGGCAGTGTGGGGGCCGTGGCCCGGGGTGGGGTACGGGGCAGGGGGCTGGCCAAAGTGACCCACTGGGGTCCTTCCGACTTCACACCTCTAGTTGCTCCAACCTGGACAGACAGCGGCACGGCCTGTTAGTAGGGTTGCCAGATCTGGGTTGGAGAATACCTGGAGATTTGTGGGGTGGAACCCGGGGAGGGCGGGGTTTGGGAAGGGGAGGGGCCTCAGTAAGGAAGAATGCCCTGGAGCCCACCCTCTGAAGCAGCCATTTCTTCCAGGTGAACTGATCTCTACTGTCGGGAGAGAGACGTCTCACGAGGAAAGGCTGAGAGAGTTGGGTCTGTTTAGCCTGGGAAAGAGAAGGCTTGGAGGGGACACGATTGCAGTCTTCAAGTATCTGAAGGGCTGTCATGTGGAAGATGGAGCAGATCTATTCTCTCTTGCTCCAGATTGCAAGACTCGATCTAATGGGTGGAAATGACAAGGGAGTCGATACCGGCTAAATATCAGGAGAAACTTCCTGACTGTAAGAGTGGTTGAGCAGTGGAACAGGTTGCCACGGGAGGTGGTGGAGGCTCCTTCGCTGGACGTTTTCAAGCGGAGGCTGGACGGCCATCTTTCGGGTATGTTGTCGGGCTATCTTTCTGCTATGCTCCTGCAGAGTGCAGGGGGTTATCATAGAATCATAGAATGTTAGAGTTGGAAGGGACCTTACAGGAGCAGAGCCAAAAGAGAGCCCTACATACGGCACCTGGTATTTTTGGCCACTGTGTGACAGAGTGTTGGACTGGATGGGCCACTGGCCTGATCCAACATTGGCTTCTCTTATGTTCTTATGGATAAACACATGGAGCAGAGGTCCATCAGTGGCTATTAGCCACAAGCTATAGATAGGAGCTCTCGGTCTGGGGCAAGGGATGCTCTGTATTCTTGGTGCTTGGGGGGGGGCAACAGTGGGAGGGCTTCTAGTATCCTGGCCCCACTGGTGGACCTCCTGATGGCACCTGGTATTTTTGGCCACTGTGTGACAGAGTGTTGGACTGTATGGGCCATTGGCCTGATCCAACACTGGCTTCTCTTACATTCTTATATGGAGCAGAGGTCCATCAGTGGCTATTAGCCACAAGGTATAGATGGGAACTCTCGGTCTTGGGCAAGGGATGCTCTATATTCTTGGTACTTGGGGGGGCAACAGTGGGAGGGCTCCTAGTGTCCTGGCCCCACTGCTGGACCTCCTGATAGCACCTGGTGTTTTTGGCCACTGTGTGACAGAGTGTTGGACTAGATGGGCCATTGGCCTGATCCAGCATTGGCTTCTCTTACGTTCTTATATGGAGCAGAGGTCCATCAGTGGCTATTAGCCACAAGCTATAGACAGGAACTCTCGGTCTGGGGCAAGGGATGCTCTGTCTTCTTGGTACTTGGGGGGGCAACAGTGGGAGGGCTCCTAGTGTCCTCCTGGCCCCACTGCTGGACCTCCTGAGGGCACCTGGTATTCTTTGGCCACTGTGTGACAGAGTGTGGGACTGGATGGGCCTGATCCAGCAGTGGCTTCTCTTATGTTCTCTTATGTTCTCTTATGTTTTTACGTTCTCCCCTCCTCTATTCTCTGACAACAACAACCCTGTGAGGTAGGGCCAGGTGGAAATTTTTCAATAGCCCCAAATTTGCCCGGCCGGCTCACACAGCAGAAGGGGGTGTGTGTTGGACCTAGGCCTCCCCGGATCCTGCTCTGTCCCGCTCTCCACTCTCTCCAGAAGACCCCACCAGAGTGTCGGTCGACTGGCAGAAGCCCAGGTTGGAGGATGGACTGAACCAGGGAGTATAAGAAGAGGGAAACTCGTCAGCAGCCGCTGTGGCCCAAAGAAGATCCCCCCCCAGGCCAAGCCCATGTGGCCCCCTCTTAACTCCTGCTACTAACCATGCAGGGCACTGATCACCCCTCCCCCCCCCAGGGGAAACGCTCCCGGCCGGCCTGCCTGCCTCTCCCCACCACGCTGGCAGCTTACCTGACTTCTTGCTCTTTGGGGGGCAGCCCAGATCCAAATTTTGCATGAATATCTGCACAGGTGTGGCTTTCCTCGAGGACTCTGGAACAGACAGAGAGCCAAGGAGAAGACGAGAAGAAGAGACTGGGTTTATACCCCGCCCTTCACTACCCGAAGGAGTCTCAGAGCGGCTTACATAGAATCATAGAATCATAGAGTAGGAAGGGTTCCATACAGAGACCATCTAGTCCAACCCCCTGCCCAGTGCAGGACCAGCCTAAAGCATCTCTGACCAATATTCATCCAGCCTCTTCTTGAAAGCTGCTGGTGAAGGGGAGCTCACCACCTCCCTAGGCAGCTGATTCCACCTTTGAATCACTCTGACCGTGAAAAAGTGTTTCCTGACATCCAGCCGATACCTTTCTGCATGCAATTTAAACCCGTTGCTTCGGGTCCTCTCCTCTGCTGCCAACTGGGACAGCTCCTTGTCCTCCTCCACATGACAGCCTTTCAGATATTTAAAGAGAGCTATCATGTCTCCCTCCCCAGTCTCCTCTTCTCCAAACTAAACATTCCCAAGGCCCTCAGCCTTTCCTCATAGGGCTCAGTCTTACCATCTCCTTTCCCGTCCCCTCCCCACAACAGACACCCTGTGAGGTAGGTAGGGCTGAGAGAGCTCTGAGAGAACTGCTCTTGTGACTGACCCAAGGTCACGCCAGCGGCCGCACGTGGAGGAGGAGTGGGGAATCAAACCCGGTTCTCCCAGATCAGAGTCCGCGCTCCTAACCACGCCACCCAACTGGCTCTCGAGGTGGGGCCACGGAAGTCTGGCTTCCCACAGGACCCTCCCCGCCCGCAAGAGGCAGCAGCTTAGGAGACTCACCCGACCTTCTGGAAGCAATTGGCGACCAGGTCCCAGGCATAGCGGATTTTCTGCACGTGGATGCAGCTCACCTGCCAAAGCAAGCAGTGACAGCGGGCACTGCAGAGGGAGCCTCTCAGCTGCTGCCCTGAGAGCAGCCCAGGAACCTTCCTGCCTGGGAGTTAGGACCACGGGGAGATTTCCTCCCTGACTGCCCCCGCAATCAAAGAAGCTCCTTCGGCAGGCACACAAGCCAGGGCCTTTCCAGTGGCGGCCCCACAAGGATGGAACAACCTCCCCAGAGAGAGGTGCCCGCAGGGGCCCTTCACTGCCAGTCTTCAGGAGGCAGCGGAAGGTGTTTTCACTCAGGAGGACCACATTTGGTCAAGTTTGTCGGCAGTCAGGGCTATTTTTGG